TCTGGTGGAACCGACCTTCGAATCTCTTCACCCAACACTTTCACTCGGAATGGAAGTAAGCTCAACAATTATGAAAGAAGAGATTCCTCAAAACCCAACTTTTCTTAACATTAGACGGTGAGTTTTCTTGACTCAACTTGAATATGGTTGTAAGGAGGATATCCCGCTGTGAGAATGTCTTTAATATGACGGAAGAAAGCTCAGCACAAAGTCATCGAGGTTGCAAGTTGATGTGCCGAAGTGCTCTTCGTACAATCCAACGGTTACAAGTACAAGGCAACTCTCCTTCGGTATCCATTGAGGCCAATTTAAGAATACCTTCACCGGCCTTTTCAAGTGAAATAAAAGTAATTCTACTGCCGAGGGATTCTTCGAAGCCTAGCTTCTCTTCATATGTGAGACAATGGTCGAAAGATGAGCATGTTTTCAGTGGAATCGAAGGAGTTTGCCTCAGGAACAGAGCCAATCAGCATGTTTTAGTAAAGCAAAACGATAATTGGCCAAAGGCATCGACCTTTAAAGATCTCCATAATGCACTTTCACTCAAATTGGAGTTAACACATCCCTCATTTTAGAGGCTAGCAAAGCAAACAAGCACCGGTGTGACATACTATCTATAAGAATAAAAGTAGGCGATTCTACCATATTTTCCTACATGATGCTGTAGTTCTCAGAGTAGGACAAATTCTAGCTCGAAACGGCCCAGAAGCTTGTCCATAAGGAAGGATATTCGAATGATAATGCAAAATAAAGCGACAATATTATTCATCTGCTTCGTGTCCTCAAGGGCTAGTGGTTACTCTTGATTGTTTTAATAAAAGTGGTGAGAGTGTGAATACAGGGAGGGATCGACGGACCATCCGGGTTGGGTGTTAGGCCGCTATGACAAATGAGAAAAGCCTGAAAAGAGGAGGAATGAAGGCCATTTCCTCCCTGAGCCCCTCAAACCTATGGAACCTGACTGGACCCGTTTGCTCTCCACTGCGCCAGTTCGGCGACAGTATTGTAGGCAGCATTCAACAGGTCTAGTGGATAACCGACTGCTCTTCCGTGTCACGAAGGCAAAAGCCACGCATATACAAACTCATTCTCTCCTCGATTAACTTGAGCACCACACTGTTCCCCCTCTGTCCAATCTAGCTCGACGTACGACAAACACCTCGACGCATAGACAAGCAGGTAGTAAATCTAAAGTCTCCCGGTGCATGAGGTGAACAGGGCCAGACTGACTGACGCGCTGACCGGTCTTCCATTAGGCCCCTCAAATCGGCCATTGTCAACTTGGCCAAAAGTTAATTTGCCCACTCATGCCCAGTTTGCCTTGACACAGGCTTGTAAAGTTTCGGCTGTTATATCCATCATCCACCCTCTGTCGGAGGTGTGGCCTTCGTCATGACTGGATAAGCGAGCAACAAGACGGCCCGTCCCCATGTGCTCGCAGTGGAGAGAATCGGAGAAGAGGGGTCAATGGGGACGCCACCCGCGAACCTTCTGGAAATCCCTGGTTTTCAGGGTAAATTTGCATTCCCGATGGCTTGACGATCTCTATGTCGAGTCCCCGTCCCTCGGTAGACCGATCCGACTCTTTCCTGCTCTCAAGCCCAGGGAAGGGAGGCCGGGGAAGGTCTTCATTATTCATTGCTCAAAACGTGTGCCAAGCCTGAGTGCAGGAGTGGCCGGTCGTCTGGACGACTAAAATGCCCAAAAGGGGGTCTTGAGCGTAAGTGATGCTAGCGTGATGGAAACAATTTAGGTGTGTTTGTGCATGTATATGAGTGCGTTTGTGCGTATTCGCGTGTGAGGCTTGTCATCATGGCCTCGGATATACAGTTCTCCGGCCCCCTGTGGCGCTCCAAACACGTCTGACACGACTTAAGCACAACGGCCTTCACACCTCTGAGTGGACGAGCCAAACCGGCATTCACACCTTGTTCAGCCTTTCTGGGGGAGGAGGCTGAACAGCGCGACGTCTACCATTTGCCTTTTTTATGTCTGCGCCATTCACCCAATCTGGTATCGGACGACTGGGAGTGAGTGGATGAGGCAGACTTTACTGGCGCGTGTGTGGGAGGTGTGGTGGGTGGCACGTGTGGAGAGAAAGGGGAGGCAGTAAGTTGCGATGCTAGCCTCGACAGCATAATTGCCCACTCGCCGATAATGACAGTATGCAGAGTCGGCGATTTGAGACGTCCCCCCTGAGTCGGTACCTTGGCCGTGTGTACAAGACTCGTCTCATCGCCGGTCTGGAGGCATCACCGGCTTGCCTGCCTGCCCAACCGTTGTCACGTCTATGGCTGACCGCAGCCGGTGTCGCAAATGGGCGGATAAACGACGATAAGTAGAGCCTGGTGGTCTTCAATTAATCGAGGTCGAGGGAACCGGCTTCGTGTCTCGCCTCCTGTCGCACGACGCGGATGATTCAATCTGCTGGCTTGACGACAGGCGCTTCTTAGCCGAGGGTTAGGCTGTTTACAAGCGTGTGGTCTTCGCTTTAGCGGCTCATGAAGTTTCGCAAACTGTTGGACGATTGCACAGAGTGTCCAGTTCAATCTTGTATGGTTTCATCCTGCCGTGTGCTTAGTTACGGTATAAGCCGGTTTTGGGAATATGAGCTATAATTGTTGGGATTACTTCCATTTCGAGTAGAAGTGTTGGGTGAAGACATTCGAAGGTCGGTTCCACCAGAATACGACGGCGAATTCCTCTTCTACTCGAAATGGAAGTAATCCCAACAATTATGAAACAAGAAATTCCTCGAAACCCAACTTTTCTTC